TTCAAAATATTTTTTTCCGCCAAAAGTGATCAAATTGCATGAAATGCGGAGAAAAATGCTTTTCAAAAAAACTTAGTGAATTTTTCGTTTCAAGAATACTTAAATCGCCAATATTTGTAGTTGGAGTTCAGTAAATCGCGGCAGATTTTAGTAATCAGGAATTACTAAGTGGAAAGGTCTGAAACTGAAAAACGTTAACCATACGATATAAGAGTTTCATAACTAATTACAATACAGCCTTATCGATTTTCACAGAAACTGCACCAATGGCACAGTCAAGATCGAAAGACGAAACGATAGCCTGCTGTACTATCATTTTATTGATTTCAATGATGAATCAGTGGGGTTAAGATAATCACATTTGTAATAAATAAAACCTCTCTGTACCGTCAATTGTGCTAATCTAAACCGGCCTACCTGGATTACCAGACCTCTTCTTTTCCTCAACAATCAAACCAAGTTGTTCATATCGCATTTGGTGGGCGATGTAAGTACATATCGAGCTGTATTCAATCACAATACGACACAATACGTGTATATTATATTATGGCCCTTAATGAGGTTTATGAAACGCTTAATACCGTGAAAAACCCGGTATGGAGACGTTTTACAGTTTATCACGAAAACGTATACTTGGCCTCATGGCTCATTTACAGTTCGAAGAAGGCAAGAACAGACCAGGGAAACTAAGGAACAGCCAGGTCCAGGAAGCAAGTGTAAATACACCTTCCAACATCTACTGTGACTTGTTTTGTATTGTACTGCATACCGCTTCATTTGCTATGCGGGATAAAATCACCCCCATATGTCAGGGTCGGCTGAAAGTAATATCAACAAGGGTAACATACGGGCAAGGATAAGATTTAGATACGAGCGTCGAGCAAGGGGTGGTACTGGTAAAGAACCGATAATAATTCATTCAGTGAAATGTTCCACGAGAGTCAGGATATTTTTGAAATTGCTAATAGAGACAGATCCTGATCAGGAAGCTGAAGACGATTTACACAAGTATTTTGAAAGCTCCTGCTAATAAAATCTTTCGTATCACTTATATGTTTTAAATATCCCCCTCCAGGCTGATCAGGAAGGATTGTTAATGTTATTGAGGATGTTGATTTGAAATCCGGACGTTGTGAAGTAAAAATACAGGTTCTTTCCGCACGATATTCGGGGCCCATGATAATCAGCTCGGGATTAATGTGGGACAGATCGAAATTCGAAGAGCATTGAAAAGAGCGAGTTGACATTTTAAGCTTTCTGGTCTTTTCTTGCCTTCTTTGAGCTGTCAAAGAGTCATGAGGCCAAGTAGACGTTTTAGAATTAGAACGTTTCATATACCTCATTAAGGGCCATAATATAATATACACGTATTGTGTCGTATTACTATTGTGATTGAATACAGCTCGATATGTACTTACATCGCCCACCAAATGCGATATGAACAACTTGGTTTGATTGTTGAGGAAAAGAAGAGGTCTGGTAATCCAGGTAGGCCGGTTTAGATTAGCACAATTGACGGTACAGAGAGGTTTTATTTATTACAAATGTGATTATCTTAACCCCACTGATTCATCATTGAAATCAATAAAATGATAGTACAGCAGGCTATCGTTTCGTCTTTCGATCTTGACTGTGCCATTGGTGCAGTTTCTGTGAAAATCGATAAGGCTGTATTGTAATTAGTTATGAAACTCTTATATCGTATGGTTAACGTTTTTCAGTTTCAGACCTTTCCACTTAGTAATTCCTGATTACTAAAATCTGCCGCGATTTACTGAACTCCAACTACAAATATTGGCGATTTAAGTATTCTTGAAACGAAAAATTCACTAAGTTTTTTTGAAAAGCCTTTTTCTCCGCGTTTCTTGCAATTTGATCACTTTTGGCGGAAAAAAATATTTTGAATTTTCGAAATTTTTCCAAGTCTCGGAAAAAAAATGTAAGTGACAAATTTTCAAAGTTTTTCTAAAAACTACTTTTTTCCGTGTTTTAAGCTATTCCGATCATTTTGAGCCGATAAAAATTTTTTCGAATTTTGCTAATTAGCTAATTGATAATTATCCAATTAACTGATTATCTGACGTAAAAATTGTTAGAACAAAAGTTTTTCTTCATGGTAATATGAACACACTCGATTGATTCGTAACCTTCTACGATGTTCACAACTAAAGATATTCGACAAACAAGAAAGGTGGTAAAAAGTGGTAAAGTGGCAAAAAGTGGCCTTAAGACAAGTGGAAAAGTTTGGAAAAGTTGGTCAGCCATAAAGGGCACCTAATGGGACTCAAAAACGTCAAAAATCCTCTGAAAGCTTTGAGTGTCAGCAGATCGATTTTTTCAGACGGATCTGTCTGTACTATGCTCTCATTCCACAATCAGTCCACTAACATGTAATGTGAACGGTCACTCAACTACGATCTCCGAGTACATTATCTGCAAGGACTTGATTCTTTGTGATGACAATTTGGATGACGTCTGCATTAACGCGGAGTTTCAATGTACGATACACAAACACAAGGTTTGCGATGGAGTTAACGACTGCTTAAACGGAAACGACGAGAAAGACTTCTTCTGCAAGGATTTGGTTCGCCAAGAGATTAACTGTGTCAGACGACTCTCATACAACAAGTCTGTTACAAAAATACCCCGACAATGGATCATGGATGGGCCAGGATGGGGTGGTGGATTGCATGAACATGATAGATGAAGATCCTAACTCGTGGTTAAGGGAGTGCGGCTGCGGAACGCAAGCGATATACTCGTTTTCTGGCAAGAGTATTAAGGATTGCAGTCTGATCGCCCAGCTTAAGTGTCCAAAATCAGACAGCAGAATAAACCTAGATCGAGTGTGCACTGGAAAATCTTATAACTGTGATTCCCAGGTATGCTTTGCGGCCCGAAAAGATTACGTGGTCATGAGTCGAGTAAAAACGAGAATAAAAAACGAGGTCGTAACATTACTTTACTGTTTACAAGGACTATACAGCCTTGAGAGCTTGGCAGGAGAATGTGCTCATGCCAGGCTTACTCATCAAAGGAGAGTTCATGGAATTGAAGATTCCTATGTCATAAATTCACAGAAATATGCCAAATCCTACATTGATTGCAGACATCTGTTTGGAGAGTATTTGGTGTATGTGTCGTGCGCCGGACACTGTTATCAACAGGACGCGTGTCCCATCAAACCTCTTACTCCTTCAAACTGTCTCAACTTCCCCAAATCAAAACTGGTTTTCTCACTGGCATGGGACGACACCTTAGCCATGGCCGTTAAAAACAGCAATGGGTTCAGCAAGGAGTATTTTGCCTGTAAGAGTGGACTTTGTATTGAGTTTGATAAAGTTTGCAACTTAGAAGATGACTGCAACGATCAATCCGACGAGGAGAACTGTATAAACAATTTCAAGTGTGAATCAGGCGAGTTTATTCCTCTTTCCAAGAAGTGTGACGGAATATTCGACTGCTACGGTTACTCTGACGAGTGTAACACTGAGTGTTACAACCAAGTAAAAATGTTCAACCACTCTTCACTACTTGTAGTTGCGTGGGTTTTTGGGATAACCGCCATTTTCTTGAACGTATTCACTCTGATAAACGGGTTGAGGGAGTACCCGAAACTAACAAAAGAGACTGCTCTGATAAACAAGTGTTTTGTCTTGATGATTACAGTAGGTGACTTGCTGCAGGGAGTCTTCCTGCTCCTCTTGGCAGTAGTGGATACCTTCTTTAACACCACCACCTGCATCACACAATTTGAATGGACCACAAGTAAACTATGCACCGGCTTGGGAATTCTCTCCACAATCGGCTCTTTAGTGTCTCTCTACTCAATGACGATCCTCAGTATCATCCGTGCTTCAACCATTGGATCCCTTGTTGCACCCGCGGACGGTTTGTCTAGGAAAAAGAAAGTATACCTAGCTACTACAGTGATAATAGTGTTTTTAAGCGCCCTTCTCTTCGCTATATTTCCAGAAATCACATTGGAGGACTATTTTGTTCAAAAACTCAACTACAATGACAATCCTCTTTATGTGGGAGCTCCAAATAAGAAAAAGCACATACAAATCTTGGAAGCATACTATGGGAGATCATCAATGCATGCAGATATGCCTTGGGAGACTATTCAGAACCTTGTGAAGGTCATGTTTGAGAATGATCATGTTGTGGGATCAAACGTTGGTTTTTACGGTGAAAATGGATTTTGTTTGTTCAGCTACTTTGTCAGAGAGAACACTCCCTACCGATGGTTCTCCATTACTGTCCTCTCTACAAATCTGTTCTGTGTGCTGATAATCGGATGTTGCTACATCATGGTTAACATGCTTGCTACCAGAATTTCAGGTGCTGCTGCTGGCAACAGGGCTTCAGAGGCTGCCAAAAGAAACCGGAAACTCCAGAGGAAAATCACCATAATAGTCATGACAGATGTCTTGACGTGGCTGCCATTCATCATGGTGTGCGTTATTAACTACACAGAGTTGATCGATACCTCAAACTGGTATTCTGTGTTCTGTATATTGTTCCTCCCGATCAATTCAATCATTAACCCAATTGGGATCTATGATGAGACAGTGTATGATTTCGGTAAACTCATTCTTAACAAGATCAAGCAGACCTTTCAGTATGATTATCTGAGTTGCTTTATAACAACTCAAGAAACGAAGCAGGAAGAGACGGAAATGAACCAAATAGACAGAACAGGGGCAAAAATGAAGAGCGAAGGCGGTCAAAATGGAGAAGAAATAGGGAAATCTCGATAGACTCTACTTATTGCTTTTGTTACTTTTGTTACTACAGATTTTGTTACTTTTCACAAATAAAAAGTTATAATTTATCAAAAAACAGCTATTTTAATTCCAATCCCGAGGAAAACTGAACTTTAGACCGATGTCTTCGTGGAGGTTGTGACTCAGACTGAACTGGCTGTGCACTCTTTTAGCAATTATTGGTTGTTCCATATAGTTTACTGGTTAGCGATAAATAATCACACTGATATTGTAAAATAACTGATACTTTATGGATAAAACTTGAATCCCGCAGTGTAGTAACTCTATAACTCTAACTGTATAACTATAAACGCAACGATCGGGTAAACTGTATTATCGATATCTTGGATTGCTCAACCATGCAGTCCAATAAAATTAAAGAAAGAACGCGAATTGTACTGTAGGCAAAAGTATCCAACTGTTAGTCCCAATTTATAAACATAACTTTTTTTAATTAATAGGCTAGCACACAAAATGTCACATGCTACTTATTCGACCCCGCTGTCAGCCGAGCAGGGGCTTTCGTTCTTCGATGGTCTTATCTTTCTTCATGTCTCTGATTTTCCAGCAGTAGATGAAGGAAAAGATGGACTGAAACGAGGGAGCGTAATGGTTCAATATAAAATTATGTGAATTATTCTCTCAATTAGAAACGATTTTTATCAAAAATAAAAATTAACTGCAGAACTTGTATAACTCATGTCTAACTAAAAACTGTAATTTTACCTGCGCAATAAAAATAAATCCTAACCCTCCAGTGGACTCTTCAAACGGGATGTAAAGAGACAAAATCCCTGCAAAAATCAAACTTTAAACCTCTAAACAACGATTACAAGACTCAGTCTGGTCGACACGAGAAGAACTTTGACTAAACATTTGATATTGATATCACAAACAGTAAAATAACCTGCAGCAAAGGAACCAATACAAGCGCCAAGTGGGAAACAAGAACAGTACACAGAGACTATCGTGTTGGATGCTGAGATGGACATCTCCCCTCCATTCCTCAACTGAAATACCCAGTCTCATATCCTTATTAACTCTGTCACTACACTAAATAAATTAAGATTGAAGTTAACAGTAAGATATTGTTTTATGTTCGCTAAAGATCAGATTCGCATAGTGTGCACTTCGACATGATTATTGGTTAACGTCGTCATGGTGACTGTTGCTATGGTTACTAGAATATATTTTACCTTGTAAACTTCAAACATGATGAGCAGTATTGGAGTGCATCCCATTGGTACAAAGAATCCCAACAGAGCCAGCACCAACATAACCTGCATTTTAGATGTTGCTACCTGAGGGAAAGTTGAAGTTCATGATATTGATAGTGAAAAGACATGTACTCTTCATTTTATTTATATTAGGGATACATTCAAAGAAATTCAAAAAGGCATAATAAAGGTCAACAGTAACACTGTTCTAACTAAGCTACGTAAGTGAAGGCTTAAACTCACATGGAATAAAGGTATAGGTCCAATGAACATGTAAAGGAAAGGCAGAATTACAGCTGAGAACATTACGAAAAAATAAGGGTTGAATCTATCGATTAACCAGCCTGAAAATGGTAAGTTACCTGACAATTTTACCTAGGAAGTTCTTATATGAATAGCAGATAAATAATAGAAGCGAATTAGAATATGGTTTAGAGTTTAGACACAATAGCGTATATCAAATAGTCCTGTCGTAAAATCCACTTGTATACAGGCAGACCGTTAGAAAACGATGACGAAGATAGTGCTGATTTTGGTTGTTGAGTGTAACCACTACACACTAACCTAAAGGAGGTGCACTTATGATAATGGTGCTGGTGTTGACGAGAAGTGCAAGTCCGGTCCATACCACCGTCTCTCCCAGAGCTCGTTCAACAAATGGAGCCAGTGTTGGGAGGTGAAAATAAAGTAGAATCTGAGAGTAAGAACGAAAATAAAGTTTCCAAGATATTGAAAGTTGAAATCTTAGTAAAATCATTAATGAGCATAAAATATTTCCTTGTGTTTGAAGAGCGAGAACAAAAAACCTGACAAGCAGCACAGTGCCAGGCAGCCATCATTATCCAGGGGTCCTTGTACACCTTCATACTGTCGTTAGTGTCAGTTTGATCGGGCAGGGTGTTAACACGTGGTATGGTGAATTCTAACAGCACACAGCAAGCGATTATAATACCTGGACCCCAGAACGCTAGACTGTGGAGGAAAGGGTGGAGTTATTTTAAGAGGAGGAGATTACTTGGTTTAAATAAGTTGGAACACTATTTTCGAGAGAATAATCAGCAATTAAAAGTACCTGTAACCTCCAGCGTCATACAGCAAACTGCCCATGAAAGGTCCGAAGGCTTGTGCCCCGTTCAAAGCAGCCTCTGCCAGGGCTGTAACAAAAGCAACTCGGGTGGGGATCATTTTGGTAAGCACTCCAAAGGAGGGAACGGAGACGAGTCCAATTGCGATGCCGGCTACCACTCGGAAGATACCGGAGAGAACAATGTAGAGTGTGTTGTTCGTGATTCTGTTGAAGAAACTGAAATTTAGATTAATTAGATATAAGTAAAAGGAAAGGACGTCTGCTTTATAATACTTATAGAAAAGAAGATTTAAGTCTTTTTGATGGTTGACTTTTCGATTCATTTAAATTGTTTACCGCTATTTTCACTAGCCTATTAATGATAAAGATAATTCCGAGAGTACCGGAACCAGTCATCAAAAGCGGCTTGTAATTGAAATTTTCCATCAGCTGGGCAGTGGGGGCACAAGAAATGAGGAACCTGAAATGATGGAAATGAAAATTGGTATTAGAACTGGACTAGGAATTATCAAATAAATCAGAGAAGACCAGAGACCAAATCATGCTGCATTTTACAGACATAGTTTATTTTTGTCATTAAACAAGTACCAATGAAGTAATATTTACCCGACTGGGACCACGCCAAGAATAACTCCGTCCCAAACCGACGACACATTTCTATCAGCGTGATAGAGAGGCAGAAATGGGGCTGGTAGAGAGTACAGCATAAACGCCAGCGCTGAAAATACGAGCGTAACTAGAGGGCTAGGGTTGGGATCAGATTAGAGGGTTAGGGTTTCGAAAAGTCGTTCAGAACCAGCTAGAGAACGGGTTAAAAAAGTCACGTGACAGTCGAGTGTAGAGTGATTAATCATCATCCGTGAAGCTCACCTAAAACAACCGTAACGACAGTGAAAGCGTATATCAACATGGGTTTGCTCAAATTGTGAGCCTTTTTTGCGGTTGCCCCAACTCCTTCCATAGTTATATCACCTGATTCAAACTAAAATGTACCTACATAAATAGTTAGTAATTAGAAATTTGGTATTATTATATTGGTCATCTGCACTTCGTAGTTACTGAAGAGGGTCGGTGGTAGAGATTTAACATTGAAAGCTCGCTGTGGACAGGGTACTACTACTAGGTATCCACTATCCTCGTCTCCTGGCCCAAGAAGGAAAAATTTAATTCAATCGAACGTGAATACTTGATCAATCTCGAATTTCCTACTGGCAGCTACCCAATCTAGTTAAAATTGACCATAATATCCGACACAATTCTATTTCAATTTGCCAAGTGCAGCCAACAATATTAATGTTTCGAGAGAATTAACACAGTTATTAAGGGAATGACTAAGGTTGTCAGCCATTTTATACCGATGGTTCATATCCCCTGTTTAGAAAATGAGACCAGATGTAACACAAGAAGAAGTGGCAAAATTAGTTAAATTAATTACAATTTACGACAAGATTAATTTGACCAAAACCCATAATCATGGGTAGAGTGAACCGCTGCCAGTGTCTCTCTTTTCCAAACAAAAGGAAATGATATTAATTTGAGGAACCGTCCGCAAATGCAAATGATGATTATGGGTTTTGGTCAAATTATATATATTAATATATATATTATACTTCACGACAATTTGTTTTTTACCTAATTTCGTATAACATGCTGGCGCGTATTTTGCGCAAATTTCTTAAAAACTTCCACATAACTATTTCTTATTCTGCTGAACTACTTTCGATGAGTCTTAAATCTTAATGCCTGGAAAACAATAAAGGGGATATAATAGTATAGGGGGTAAATAGTATTGTGAATATAACGGCAACGGTAATGCTTGCCAGCATTGTGATTGATAAATATGCGGTGTAAAATAAACAATCGTACAATTAACAACTAACGATAATTTCTTAACAACCATAACCGTATGTGTGCACATTAGTTAAAATAGTATGCACCGATCGAATGATCGATAGGAAAGTCGGTGGAAATGGAATCGAGTTTCACCATTCTTACATAACACGGCTGCTGTAAGCTCGAAATTAATATGAAATTCCATTGAAACTCTTGAAATTGATTAGAGGTCAGTTTTATAGGTTTCTCTATATAATTTAGCGATTTTGTTCGTGCTTAGTGTTAAATGTTGTTTAGAGCACAAATGTGCAGAGAAAAAAAACACAAACGGATGATGCTGAGGTCAGAAGAGTGAACAAGAAAACTAAAGTAGAATATGGAAAGGAGGAAATGAAAGGCACACCATCCAAACGGTCTCAACAAACAGTGTAACAAGTGAAGTACAAACAAGATGTTCATACCTGTGCTAGATTCTAATGCTAGATTCCAATTCCTACTCTATAAATTACTCAAGTTCAGCAATTACCAAACCACAAAATATGCGACAAATACTCGTAATAACACTATAGACATTCCCCCTGAAGTAGATCAGTCGTGAAGACTCAGAAATCTGAAATATAATCACTGACCAAGTTTCGCTAATCCGAGTGGTCTTGAAAGCTGATGAGGAATATAAATCATCGCCACTCTGGTATAAAACTTAGCCTTTGAACATAGGAGGAATTCTGGAGCGGTTTGAAAAAAGTGTAATTGAGCTGCAAATTTGGATTACTTTCTCACTCGCTTTTGGATAAGATTATCAATATTGATTTTTGGTTTTTTTATATATTTTTTTGTATTTTAAATGCTTTGATAAAAGTAAAACACGCTAGTTAGAAAATTGAATCAAAATCTGATATTTCGAACACTAACAAGCTATCAAAACAAATGAATGAAAATTAAAAATATAATTTAATCAAATGGGAATCAAAACAACACATCAGTCACATAATTGATTTAAAATTATAAGCTTGGAGTTAAACTATAACTTCAAAACTAAAAACGATTCTAATTCACCAAGTGAAAAAGTTGTTATCCGATACTGCCTAAACGAAATGTCATAACTTAATATAAAACTTATTGCAACAGAAAGCAACTTGTCGCTAAATTAATTTGTATTTTACTTAATAATTCACTTTGCCGCTCCAAACATGCCATGCAAATTGACTGAAGTTGTAATGATCGCTAAATTCTAATGACCACAGTTCAAATACTACAAAGTTGGTCATGAGCCTAGCTACTGATTACGATAAGTACCAGAGATAATAGGTAAGTTTCATATGTACTGATACTTATAGTACTTATCTAAAGTTATAATACGTACTATTACTTATAGTTCGCAACTTATGTACATCAAGCGAATTGAAGAACAATTATTTACATAAGTAGTTCACAATTCCTATAATTCTTGACGGTTGCACTGAATTCGTACTCAACTAGAACTCTCGAGTTGTACGTGATTCGTACTTAACTCTCGAGTTGTATAGTTACGTGATTCGCCACCTCACTTTACTATATATCGCACATCATTTTGGTTTCAGGAATCAAATGATAAACATGACATAAAATTCTCAATTTGAACCTCACAGTGCATTATTATCATTTGATCCGAGCAACCCGATAACTTCTCAATTACGTTTAAAATACTTTATTTAAAATACGACAAAGCACAAATACTCAAATATAAGAATCCGTTGTACTATATAGCTCATCATGTGACCTATATAGTTCATTATGTGACCTATATATTTTATCATATGACCTATATAGTTCATCACGTGACCTATATAGTTCGTCGTGTGACCTATATAGTTCGTCGTGTGACCTATATATGTCATCATGTGACCTCTAGAGTTCATCATGTGACCTCTAGAGTTGTCCATGTGACCTATATAGTTCATCATGTGACCTCTAGAGTTGTCCATGTGACCTCTAGAGTTCTTCATGTGACCTATAGAGTTGTCCGTGTGACCTATATAGTTCATCATGTGACCTTTAGAGTTCATCACTTGACCTCTACAGTTCGTCATGTGACCCAGTACGGCATGTATCATTACACTCATGTTCAGCAGTTTTCTTTCTCCTCTTTGATATCTCCCTCTTCTTTCTGTCAGAGGTCAGGTACAAGCTCCTCTCTAACCCTCCTCTGTTTCCTTCGTCATATCTGAAGAGATTTGGCATCAGCACTATATTTTAAAAACATTTTTGTAATTCACTTCAGTTTTTCTCCATAATCGGTGAATGTATTATAAATTTAAATTTTATTTATACATTGTGTTCACAAAACAATTATTAGTGTTACAAGCAGTTATTATAGTGTTTAAGTTTTCAGTTGTTATCATGAAATTCAAATTAATAAAGAGAATTTATAAAGCGAAACGATTTATTATAATTATATAGGTGCATCTGTTGCCATTTTACTGACGCCACAAAATCAACTTAAACTGGAAAAATCGTCAAAAAACGAGGTCCGAAATTTTCAAAATCGAAGACAAAATTTTCTAAGGCCTATCTTAAAATTCTGATAAAAAATGAATCTCCTAAATGGTCCTTAGAACATATCCTGAAAGTTTCAAGGTGATTGCTCAAAAAATGTAGGAGAAGATAGATTTTTAGACTCGAGTTTCTGGCGCTTCGCCTGAATTTCGAGGGTAAGGACAAAAGGAAATTATAGCATGTGCGGTATCGCGATTTATCACGTTTTTCGCGACAAATCGCGATTTTTCAGATCCTGGCCTCACGACAAATCGCGATTTTTTCAGTTCTCCGCGTCAAATTGCGCATTTTCCTTTAAATCTGAGGACCAAATTCGCGTATTTTCCTTTAAACCTGTGCGCCAAATATCACGTTTTCTATAATTAGTATATGAAACCAATCAGTATCACATCCACAACCTTCCGAATGTAGGTACGGACTTCAAAAAACCGAAAAATATATTTTCGGCTAAGAATGATCAGGGTAGCATGAAATTAAAGTATGAACAAAAGTAGTTTCCAAGAAAACTTTGAACATTGTTGACTTAGAAAATGTTCGGTCCGAGTCATTCTCGATACGTACCTCTGAAAGCAGAGCTCCCGCTTCCGAGCTCGTATTGCGAAGGGGAGGCCTGCCTTCCGAGATCGCATTACAAAGGGGAACCCTCGAGTCCAAAATCGTATATCGAACTTCGAAAACCGAAAAAAATATTTTTGGCTCATAATGATCAGGGTAACATGCATTGTCACAACATCTACAAAGCTGCCATATAGCCTGACTGACAACTTTCTCGACTGACTGACAATGTTTCTTCTTTTCCCCATTTAGAATACAAATATTAGTACATTTTAGCTTATGATTAATATTATATTTTTACCTATAGTTTACCCAGATGAAACATGTAGTACAGACAGATCCGTCTGAAAAAATCGATCTGCCGACACACAAAACTTACAAAGGATTTTTGACGTTTTTGAGTCCTAATAGATGTCCTTTATGGCTGACCAACTTTTCCAAACTTTTCCACGTGTTTTAAGGCCACTTTTTGCCACTTTACCACTTTTTACCACCTTTCTTGTTTGTCAAATATCTTTAGTTGTGAACATCGTAGAAAGTTACAGATTAATCGAGGGTGTTCATATTATCAGGAAGAAAAACTTTTGTTCAAACAATTTGTACGTCAGATAATCAGTTAATTGGATAATTATCAATTAGCTAATTAAGTAATTAGCAAAATTCTAAAAAAAATTTATTGGCTCAAAATGATCGGAATAGCTTAAAACACGGAAAAAGGTAGTTTTTAGAAAAAAAAAATTTTCAAGAATACTTAAATCACCAATATTTGTAGTTGGAGTTCAGTAAATCTCGGCAGATTTTAGTAATCAGGAATCACTAAGTGGAAAGGTCTGAAACTGAAAAACGTTAACCATACGATATAAGAGTTTCATAACTAATTACTAAATTACAATACAGCCTTATCGATATTCACAGAAACTGCACCAATGGCACAGTCAAGATCGAACCGATAGCCTGCTGTACTATCATTTTATTGATTTCAATGATGAATCAGTGGGGTTGTGCTAATCTAAACCGGCCTACCTGGATTACCAGACCTCTTCTTTTCCTTATCAATCAAACCGAGTTGTTCATATCACATTTGGTGGGTGATGTAAGTACATATCGAGCTGTATTCAATCACAATATGACACAATACGTGTATATTATATTATAGCCCTTAATGAGGTATATGAAACGCTATATAACGGGGTGTTTCTATACCGTACACTTCTCGTTTCTCCCGTGAGAGGCCCGGTATAGAGAGGTTTCACAGTTTATCACGAAAACGTCTACTTGGCCTCATGGCTCTTTGACAGCTCAAAGAAGGCAAGAAAAGACCAGAAAGCTTAAAATGTCAACTCGCTCTTTTCAATGCTCTTCGATCCGTCCCACATTAATCCCGAGATCATCATGGCCTCAAATATCCTGCGGAAAGAACCTGTATTTTTACTTCACAACGCCCGGATTTCAAATCAACATCCTCAATAACATTAACAATCCTTCTTGATCAGGATCTGTCCCGTCGTCTCTATTAGCAATTTCCAAAATATCCTGACTCGGATCTCGTGGAACATTTCACTGAATTAATAATTACCGCGACCGGTTCTTTACTTCCCCTTGCCCGACGCTCGTATTTAAATCGTACCCTTGCCCGTATGTTACCCTTGTTAATTTAACTATTAGCCGACCCTGACATATGGGGGTGATTTGAGGTATCCCGCATAGCAAATGAAGCGGTATGCAGTACAATACAAAACAAGTCACAGTAGATGTTGGAAGGTGTATTTTCACTTGCTTCCTGGACCTGGCTGTTCCTTAGTTTCCCTGGTCTTTTCTTGCCTTCTTTGAGCTGTAAAAGAGCCATGAGGCCAAGTAGACATTTTCGTGATAAACTGTAAAACCTCTCTATACTGGGTTTCTCGCGGTATAAAGCGTTTGATAAACCTTATTAAGGGCCATAATATAATATACACGTATTGTGTCATATTGTGATTGAATACAGCTCGATATGTACTTACATCACCCACCAAATGCGATATGAACAACTCGGTTTGATTGTTGAGGAAAAGAAGAGGTCTGGTAATCCAGGTAGACCGGTTTAGATTAGCACAACCCCACTGATTCATCATTGAAATCAATAAAATGATAGTACAGCAGGCTATCGGTTCGATCTTGACTGTGCCATTGGTGCAGTTTCTGTGAATATCGATAAGGCTGTATTGTAATTTAGTAATTAGTTATGAAACTCTTATATCGTATGGTTAACGTTTTTCAGTTTCAGACCTTTCCACTTAGTGATTCCTGATTACTAAAATCTGCCGAGATTTACTGAACTCCAACTACAAATATTGGTGATTTAAGTATTCTTGAAAAGAAAATTTCACTAAGTTTTTTTGAAAAGCATTTTTCTCCGCGTTTCATGCAATTTGATCACTTTTGGAGGAAAAAAATATTTTGAATTTTCGAAATTTTTTCTAAAAACTACCTTTTTCCGTGTTTTAAGCTATTCCGATCATTTTGAGCCAATAATTTTTTTTTAGAATTTTGCTAATTACTTAATTAGCTAATTGATAATTATCCAATTAACAGATTATCTGACGTACAAATTGTTTGAAACAAAGTTTTTCTTCCTGATAATATGAACACCCTCGATTAATCTGTAACTTTCTACGATGTTCACAACTAAAGATATTTGACAAACAAGAAAGGTGGTAAAAAGTGGTAAAGTGGCAAAAAGTGGCCTTAAAACACGTGGAAAAGTTTGGAAAAGTTGGTCAGCCATAAAGGACATCTATTAGGACTCAAAAACGTCAAAAATCCTTTGTAAGTTTTGTGTGTCGGCAGATCGATTTTTTCAGACGGATCTGTCTGTACTAATGAACGAAAGTAGTTTCCAAGAAAACTTTTTTCCCCAAACATTTTTAGAAACCTAAATTAAAAAGTTGGCCCTTTTTGGCCCCTTGCCCAGATTTCATGGGGGGCGATGGCCCCCCCCCCCCTGCCCCCCGCTTCCTACACCCCTGCCGTACCCCCCAGTGGCGTAACGTTGCCTGTTGGCGCCCCCCTGCCGAAAAAAGCGCCCCCCTGTTGGCGCCCCCTCCCCTTTTGGTGCCCCTCCCTAAAATTGAACAAATTAGGTGATTTTAATGAATACGCCGGTAAAATCTCTAAAAAAGTGTGTATCTAGAGCAAAACGCGCAGTTTTGCTAGTACTTTAGTTAAGTTTTCGAAATTGTCCCACATTCAAACGACGATTTGGCGCCCCCCTAAGACGGCGCCCCCCTGCACAGCGGGGTCAGCAGGGCCTTTCGTTACGCCACTGGTACCCCCTGCCACCTTAATCTAGCATGTTCAGAAGTTCTGACCATTTGTTAACTATTATAGCTGCCCAATTAGCATTCCTTAGTCTAATATATAGTAGATTATTATAGGTCGATCTAACAATTATGATACAACATTGGTATAAGGGCACGGATCAAGCGGTTATAAGACAGTATTTCGTCAATTTTGTCACACTCAGAATATGGTACCTCTTTTTTACTGTGAGGTGTCCTCAAAACCCTTTCAACTCATTATTTTATGGTTCTTCTACCGATCATAGCCATAAAATATGTTGTTCTGAAAAGTTAGCTAATACAGGCACTTGGTTATTGGGAAAGGAGGTAAATTCTGTCACATCATATTATGGAATTTGAAATTTTCGGTGAATTGCCGAAATCATTTATATCTGATTTTGGTTTGAAAGGCGGGAAAACTCTATATAAGGCCGATACAGTTGATTTTATACGAAAAAAATTATACGAAATCGTTAATAGGTTAAATTTCGAAACAATGATAACCAATTAACCATTAGGAAGGTTTATAAAACCAAAACATATCCAAATAATTTTTGAACAAAGCTTATCTGACGTTCATAAGGCTAAATAACAACCAAACATTTTCAAGTTCCAACTCCACCGGGAAAGTCGATCACATGCCACGCCCATGTTTTTCACTGATTTTTAACAGGTAAAAATTTCTAAATCGTCAATTTAGACATGAAGGAGCATGGTTGGAGCTCTAACCCTGCCGTTTTCTGACAAAAGTGCTTAAGTAACATTTTGGAAATTTCGGGTTTTTTTGTCTAACTTT